CACACACACACACACACAAACACACAAACACACACACACAGAAAGATATAAAGTAAATTACAGCAGCTGCTCTCACTTAGGTAACTCTTTCAGTCTTAATGACACCAAATTAGTCCACAGAAAGCCCACTTATCTGTGTGAGTGTGTGTGTGTCTGTGTTTTCTGCAGTCTCTCTGCACCAGTGAATTCCTCACCTTATTGGTTGCTGTGGCACTGGAGCCAGGAACCACGGGAACATTAGTGACCTGCACGGACAGATAGTCATTATCGATGAGAGGCCACGCCCCCTCCACCTTACAAGTCTGGAAACTGTCCTTAAATGTCCTCAGGTGTGGGTCTCCGAACAGCCCGCAAAACAGGTATGCAGGCGGAGAGTGGCCGTGGCTGTGAGAGGTTGCGTGCGAATGTGCATGCACGTGGGAGTGAGTGTGGGCATGCTGGGTGCGACTGTGGTAGCTGCAGGGCTCCAGGTGGACCTCGGGGTGTGTCGAGGAAGTGGGCCCATCTCTGGAGCAGTTCCTCTGGCTCATGAGGTCTGAGATGCCTAGCACGGCCGAGTGAAAGACCAGGTTCCCCCGGCAGGACTTGGCCGTCCTCTGGGTGCAGGCCGAGTACGCGCGTAAAGCCTTGCAGAATTCAGTGTGAAAGCCATCCACAGCCGGCGTCAGGTGGGAGGTCAGGGAGACGAAGTCGGTGGTGCACTTCTGGATACGACACTGAGGGGTGGCCACTTGACACTGACCTGGAGAGGACACACAGTTTGTCAGAAATACTGCGAGAGTGAGATAATATTACAGTAATCCAAGTGGGTGACTGGCTGAAAAACAGACAGAGAAATACGTCTGATAATTTAAAAGTGAGAGCTGGTTCTCACTGGAAATGGGAAGTCAATCACAGAAGACAACTGAGGTCGGCTTTGGAAGACAGAAAACTTTGATCTTAAACACACAATGCTACCAGCCTGTTACAATCCAGCCTCATAAAATAGGAAAAAGAACAAACCACTTGTTCAAAGTCTTGATCAATCAGCAGAGCCGCTCTGTGAGTGTAATAAACCTTAAGTGTAATAAACCAAAGAGCAGCCGGAGAGAAAAGATAAAGAATGTTTTCCCACAAGGAGTTAGATAACACTGCTTATACAGGAGCAAGTGAGAGAAAGACATTTATAAATTCAGTAGGCAGAGATAAGTGGACAATACAAGGTGTGCCTTGCATGCATTCATACTCCCGTGACTGTAAAGATTATTTTTCTTGACACCTTCCTAGATTAAACTCTGTGGTCAGTCTTGACATGCAGAGTCAAAATTCCCCTTCATGAAGTTAAAAAAGCAGCTTTTCTTACTCAAATGTTTGTTTACAGCCATAACTGTGATCAGCAGACCAGGCCAGAGTACTGCATGTGTCCTAGACGGATTATTCTGCCCTTGTGAAACCATCAAGAACCAATTTCTTGGTCTGAAAATCGTCTGTGATGTTTTATCTGTTGCTACGTTTCTGAATGTAACGAGGGTCAGACCAGCCTTTTCTATCATAGATCATCAGAGAGAGGGAGTCAGAGCAAGAGAGAGAGATTAGAGACCAGACCTAATGCATCAGTCACAGTGTGCTCCTATTAAATTAGACCAGAGAGAGAGAGAGAGGGGGGGAGGTTCTGCAGTGTATGGGCAGCCACACACACAAACATACACAAACACACGCATACAAATAGCTATAGAAAAAATGCTGGACGTGTGTTAAATGCGCACAGTCCCTGATTTGTTGTAATGGAAACGCATAAGCAGAAAGTACACGGTTCTTCACTGAAATCAACAGATTCCTTTAATGTCACAGAATCTCTTAACAACCATGAGTTACCACTGACACATAAACACACACATACGCAAACAGCACATTCCAGCTCTTCTGTGTACATTTATTTGATTTCACTGGCATGAAGGAGTTGGATGACACCATTTGGGGGCAGTAGTGCTCTGAGTTTTACAAATCAGGGTGCAGGTACGGACCCCCACTCCCTCACACTGTGCTTCAGAATCTCTCCCCAGCCTGTTAAATACTGACACCACAAACACTCCCGACACACACACGGACTGCCGTCCATGCCAACCACCGCTGCACAGACGGTCTGAGCACTGAGGACACATTGTGTGTTTGACTGGCGCACCAGCAGCCTCCGTCTCTCCCTTCTATCTGCCCCTGTAGAACCTAAATGCTGCTTCCAATCTAATCAGAGTGGGTTTTTATTCTCTTTCAGAGGATATCAGAATCTGGAGCCGCTCTGAAAACACACACAAAAGCTCTCATTCACTGACATTGTCCCCAGCAGGGTGACGTAGCGAAAAAAAAAAAAGGGCTGATGACCCTGTCACTGAAGGATTTCAAACCACTGACTTATACAAAGGTTAAAAGCTCTGTGATGACAAGTATCTGCTGAAGTTTCACACCAGCTCTCATTGTGCTTCTGCTTTTATAGCTCGCCCTGCACTCTCCCCTTGTGAATGCACCAGGATTTTCATATGATGTTCTGAATCAATATTAAAGCGTAATTTTCATACTTAAAGGCTTCCTCATGATCTCCCTTTTGTGGAGTCGTCCTCCTAAGTGTCCTCTCTGACTGCACATAGCAGTACTGTCAAAAGAAAATCCCAGCTGATGTTATGGAGAGGAGATTTTTGGTAAATGGAGCCGTGGTTGTGAGCTGAATTGACTTGACGGTATTGTTAAGGAGAGAATAAAGAACTCCACGTGTGAAGGCCTTTCAATACATGCACAGCCTGGTTTGTTTCAGCCCCAGGGGCAAATATTTAATATAGTCACAAATGCTCACACCATCACTTCCATGTCCTATATTAAACTCTCTATTTCACTCCATCCCCCTCTCCCAGCTGACCCTATCATCTCACAGGCCTCTTCTCTCAAGCATCAGCTGCTCCAACCTGCTCAGATCAGATTCTTCCCCCCCAGTTTGAATCATTTGCCTCCATCAGCACTACTCTGTTTTCAGCCTCATGGCCTTTCAACCCTATTCCCAGTCTCCTCGCCATTTCTCAGCCTCTCCTCTCTGCATCCTTAGGCTCCCTCGCCACCATCACACAGAGGTCAAAAGCTCCGACGGCTGAATCTCCCACGGTTCTAACCGGTTCTTTGTCTCCCCATACAGATGCCTGCAACTTCTCAGGTCTCTGGAGATCTCAGAGGGATCTACTGGGATCATCTCTCGGCTGGCAGAATGGCTTGTGAAGTGCTTATTGATCACCTTGTTGTGTGCACTCTCTCACACAAACAGCCCTCCAAGCCTTTGGTGATACAAAGCTTTACAGGAGCTCACTAAAGCGTGCACTCTCTCTCTCTCTCTCTCTCTCTCGTCTGGACACTGCAAACAATAGTCAACAGTTCCGACATTCCTGCCTTGAAGTCAAACCCGACACATGGGCCTGACAGCTGGACTAACAATGAAATGTGTTACATTGAAATTTTAACAAATTGCTGAAAAGGAGCAAATAATGCACATTCTTTCCAAATGAGGCACATGCAGGAGAAAGTGCCACGAGGGTCTTTACAGTGAAGTGGGTCTGTGTGTTCCCACCAGGCTGTGTGCGTTTTTTGCCTGAGCCGTGTTAAACTAATTACTGGAGGTGTGACTGCTCAACAGACAGCCACCAACAACAGCCGACCCCCTGCGCACACACGCACACACGCTCTCTGGTGAGAGGGGACATTATGCTGCTTTTTGTACCAAATGAGAAATGCACATGTTTTTTCACAAGACTGAAGCAAAACAATTTGAATCGAATGATCAATGTGATACGGCACTTAAAGCCTAAATCATGACATTTGTCTATTTACAAATATGACACACATTATGTTTTACTGTTACTAATCCTTACAAACACCTTTGGCTTTAGGTCAACACACTCTTCTTTTATTTATTCTTTCTTATCTACCTGGGATTTGACTTTAAACTGGGATATGCGAGTTCTACCTTTTTCTGATTATCAAAAGACAAACGACAATAAATACAATGAAATTTAGTTTAGATGAATTCACTTTTTTGTTTTCAAGAGTCCAGCTTGCATTTTATGGAAATTTACATATTGTCATTCATGCTCATTAAGGAGGGTTGAGTGAAGACATTATAAAATACGCACACAGACAATATGTACATTTCCATTACATTGTGCAACTTCATTTCATGTTATGATTTTATGACGTTTTATTAATTAGCACCATGCAACTGAACATAAACTATATCCCACACAGATTTCCTCTGATTTAAAACAGTGCAGCTCAAATCCAAACTTTTTCTCATTAACACTCGGATACATTCTGCTGTTTCTTTCTTCACTCCTTTTATATTGCTCTGAGTGAAGCTATAATCTGTTCTATATAAGAATACGAGGAGAGGTAGTCACACTCTCTCCCCTTCTCCTCCCCTCCTCCATGAGCCATTAAGGGGCAGACAGGAGAATGACGGCCCAGGAGAGAGGGGAAACTCGATCCGGGCTCAGACTGCAGCACTGCCGCTGGAGAGAGAGCCATTGTCAGGGCCTAACACAAGGATCGGCAGCACAATGACTACTTAATAACTAATAAAGTGTCCGATGACTTCAGACTAATAATCCAACAGACTAAGAAGAAAGATTGCAGAGGTTTGTAGCTGCAGGAGCGCACAGAAATGAGTGCGTAACAGCGTAAAAGAGTGCGTAAAACCACAGATGTGTTGCGATTCATGACCGAGAGACGTGCAGTCGCTGCGGTGTGGAAAGTGCAGTTCTAGTTACCTATGTGAGCACCGCAGCACAGAGCAATGACCAGCAGTAGCAGTGGCCGGAAACGGCGCACCAGAGACGGGGAGGCGAGGCGCTCAGCCCCGCGGCAACAGCATCCGGCTCTCCCCATCCCCGTCCATGCAGGGCCAGGAGGGGAGAGTGGACAGACCTCCAGAGGGCGAGGAGGGGTGGTGTCCAGGCCTTCTTCTCACTTCTACCTCTTCTTCTGTCTCTTCTTCCTCACTCTTCTCTCCTTCCTCTCCTCCTCGGGTGCGCATTAAAACACAGCTGCTCCGCGGAATGCAGGGCGGAGCGGGTGAAGAGGAAGCAAGGAGCAGAAAGTACGAGCTGAAGTCACTCCGGCCAAAGACACTTTTACTTTTTCCTCCCTGCGTAAATCCAGTAAGTGCGCTCCCTCCACGGTCTGACTTTTACCTTGTGATGATCTCTCTCTCGCTCTCTCTCTCCCTCTCTCGGGCTGGGGTTTTCTCCTCCACTCCTCCCCCTTCACTTTCTTCTCCTCCTCCTCCTCCTCCGCCTCACCGACAAATCAATACTGAATCAACCAAACCCTGTTGGCGGAAAACCCGCCTACAAAGACTCAAGTACGCACACGCACACACATGCACACACATACATATATATGTAGAGAGAGAGACACAGAGAGAGAGAGTGAGAGAGAGAGAGAGAGAGAGAGTCTGCAAAATAATGGAGAGGCTGCAGATAAAACTTGTAAAACGTTGGTAAGATGCCTTTAAATCACTGGGTACAAAGAAGACAATAATGGGTTTCCAATGCTGTGCTGCCAACACATTTTATATTGCAGTGAAAGCTTTAAGTGAATCACCATATTTACTTCAGTGTGTGCATCCTTGGTTTCTAGTATTTTTCTTAGATAACAACAACAACAACAACAACAACAACAAAAGCAACTGCAACAACAACAGCCACAATAATAACAGCACCTGTAATAATAAAAATGATTTTTATTTCTTTGAATATGAAGAAGTGAGGGTTTTAACTGTATTGGAAAATGTCAACGTGGAAAATGTGAAGGTTTATATATATTTTTTTTTAATCACTTTTTGTTTTCACCCGTCTGTGTGCTTGTTGGCTGGTTTGTTTTTAAGCAAAAATTATGCAAAGGACTACCACACAAATTATCTGGAAACTTGGGTCAAGAGGTGGGGATTTTCGACCTTTTCTTCAATTTCTCAGAAAATAATTCATGGTTGTTGATGATGATGATATTCATTAGTGCCCAACTGGGTGCAGATCCGACTAAAATCTAGTGAATTTAAAATGTGGTTTCCAAAGGGGACTGTTGGTCCTTGATAAACCAGTGCCAGTGTTTTCTGCAGAATCAAGAGCCACTAGCAGCTGGATATTTCATAGGATAAAGTTTATTAATTAGTGGGTATTCACAAACCAGTGTCTGATTCCATGTCTGGTTCCTTGATTTATATCTTCTGATCAAACAACACTCTTTTAACTTTGTGCCAAATAATGATGTTCTAGTTGGAGGGAGCTGTGCACCAGCCTTCCTGTGTGTGGATTTCTTTAGATAAGTTTGCATCTCTGCTTACTTCATAAGCACAAAGGGGAGAAGAGAAACAGATCAGAACTGTGTGTGTGAATGGAGCACCTCTGTCACACTCAACTATCTAGACAAAATAACACACAGACACACACCACACTGCACAGTTTGTAAACCTGTACAATCAGTAGAAGACTGCAGAAGGTACAAAGTGAGCAGAGAATGTACACACCTCCCAAGAATAATGACAGAGGCTGAACATACTCAGCTTTATGCAAATTGGCCTGTATCGTGCTATTGCTATTGTTTCCTTCACCTACAGCTATTTACGACTAGTACACCTTCACACCCACATTCAAGTAAAGGTTGCTGAGTTGGATAAGTTTAAAGAAAGCACAGAAGTATCTCCTTTAAACAGTATTTTTTACTGTGTGTGTGTGTGTTTGCTCATTTAATAGTCAGGTTGTGTTCTGCTGAGATGAAAGTGGTATGAGAGAAGGTATTTGCTACAATCATTTTCTGCGACGACATTCTGTGTGTATGTGTGTGTGTTTGTGTGCATGTCTCTATAACCTTGCCTGCTATGCAGCAAACAGAGCTTCACTGTGATGGATATTTTATATGCCATGTGTCATAGCCTGGAAGTTTCACTGTTAACATGACTCAACTACCATCGCTATGAACACTCTCAGCGTTGCTCTCCAAAAGTTTGGTCATGGCCACTCATTCTCTGCTGATTGTGTGGGTAAAATAAACACACAGTCATTATGCGGCTCACGAGGATTTTACAGTAAGTGTGGCCAGCGGAGATGATGTGTGCAACGCATATGGCTCTGATATTAGATTACATTCACTTCCTGTTTCTGCCAGAGGCCTCTGATCTTACCAGTGGGGACACATAAAGATGTGAGTGTAAGGAAATCTCGCCAAAATGTCACATTTTTGTATAAACCTGTGGATTTGTACCATTGTGTATACTAGTTTGTGCCTGGAAGAGGTAAACATACTGACAGGAGACAAATTTAATGAAAACACTAGAAACTGGATGTAACAGTGGTTAAAAGTAATTAAGTACATTTACTTATGAACATCACTGCAGGATGAAGGGCTCTCAGTGAACATTTAATCAATGCTTGTACACTCCGAACACAGGCTGGTTAATTCAATTACATGTGTGCATATGGTGCTATTGATCGTGACTAATTTCATATTTCATTTGAATCACACATCAGCGTGCACACACTCACATACAAAGAGAGAGAGAGAGAGAGAGAGAGAGAGAGAGAGAGAGAGAGAGAGAGAGAGACGGGGAAGCCTAGAAACCTAGATAACATAATGACCCTATTCAATGGAGTTTAATTCTATATTTCATACTAATTAATTTAATCAATTACACCACAGCTGAGACACAGCAGAGGAGGACCCCTGAAACGAATTCATCCCCCTCCCCACACACACACACACACAGACCCACACACACAGCAGAGCTTCTCTGCCTAGTTACACGTGCATTCATACACAGTAACGCAGGCACAAAGACAGTCTGTTTCTGAACGTCCAGCTTGTCTTCACCTCCACACCTCTGCCTCCCTCCTCCACTTTATACCTCTCACCAACTCCCCCTCACCCCGGGCAGTCACTCAACAAATGGCTCTCGCAACCCAACAGAACACCTGCATGTGCACGCATGGGTGCATGTGTCAGAGCATGTAAATGCAGAGAGTTTGCATTGTTGGAAGCACGTCAAAGGTTGTGTAGGGGAAGATAAGACATCTGTGTCACACTCACACACATATGTGTACACATACAATTAACAGATCCTTTCAGCAAAACCAAGAGTTCAAATTTATAATCAGTTGCATTCATAATCCCACTTAAGTAAAAATAAAGAGATATGTTCAAAATATTTGTTGAGTATTATTATAACTGCATTATTATAACTGGTGTGTTTATGTGTATGTAGCATTTTAGGTCAAAGTACAATCTTCTAAAGCTATAAATCTACCTGTAGGCTACAGGCTCCTAAAAACTAAAAGCATTTTAATTCAAATTAACTTGTCAAAATGTCACTGCATTTCAGTACTTCGATATGCAAAATCTAATTTGACTTCAGGAAATATTTGTAACAAAATAATTTGCATTGGTTTGTAATTGGACTGCACCCATTTGGTTCTGTTGTTTTTGGGCTTAAAATGAAATAAAATAATGTGTAAACTCAAATAACTTGATGAGAATAGAAATTTAGCATGGAACAAATGCATGATAATATAACAGGGTTATATGTTTTGTATAAAAAATCTTGACTAGAAAAGTGAACAGCTAAGTCTGAAATAAATAAATAAAAGTAAAAGTTTAATTTGACTTTTGAAAGGTTGAGGATTACAGGTATAAAAATATCCACTCACACCACACTTCATGTTCACTTATTCTCAGTTAGTCAGCACAGCAGACGAACAAAAATCCCTCACATCCAATCTCTGACTCAGATAGGTGGTAAAGGTGGGGGTTGTGGGGTGGGTGGTGGCGTATGTTTATATTCCTGATGTGAGACGAGAACATAAGAGATAAAATCAAAGTAGCCTCTCATAATGCAAGTGGAAACCCAATCCCATAATAACGTGTTTGATAGCTGTGTTCCTACCCAGGCAAACTCATGTTGTGTTTCACCTGACTTGGTCTTATCAGACCATCTTTTGTCTGCACATTCACTCCACTGTTACAGAAAGACACAGAGCGAGGCCGGGGCTGGTTTCAGGTGCCTCCATGCAAAAAGTGTCAGTGGGAAAAGCATAAAGCGCTTATCTTTGGGGTCAGTTTATCTTTTAAAACACTCGAGAGAAATGAAGCGTCACCGGAGACCTCATATCAGTGGGAGAGGGTTTCTTTAATACAGGCCAGAGAGGGAGGTAATCACACAGATCCTTCTCTGCTTACGCTCTCAGTCCCCAGTCTGTTTCCCAGACCGGCCCGTTGATGTGCACTGATTGACTGGTGCTGATGCAAAACCCAAATAAAACCATGACTCCACAGTTTTGAAAAGAAACAGAGGAGACTGAAGAGAGCTCATAATGATGATAGTTCTCTCTATTCTGCTTCTACACACATTTCTGAAACTCTGCTTTCCTTTCTTTTTGCTGTGCAGACTTTTTTACCTCTGCCGAAAAAAGTTGTTATTGTTTGCTTTTCTTTATTCTTTAATTAGCAGGATTACACAAAAACTACTGAACTGATTTCCATGACATTTGATGAAGGGGTGGGACATGAAGAAGAACTCATTACATTTAGATGTGGATCCGGATCACAGGCGGATCAAGGAATTCTTTTCACTTCCTTCAACATTGTTTTTCGACATTTTCCTTAAGGATCTTGATGAAGAAAATCAGACACAAGTAGGGGGCTGATATTTATAAGTGTGTGTGATTTGGGGTGAATCCAAAAATCCAGATCTAGTGAATTTGAGAGGGGACTGTTGAGCCTTCGTAGAGGTATGCACTCCACAGAATGCAATTCTAGTTTACTAGTGCAATGCACGTTCTTAATATGAATGTTTGGAATGGGCTGTTTGGTTGGCCTGTGGTAATGCTGGTGGCAGCATTCTTTCTGAAACTCCAATTGTGAATAATACATGTGTTTTTTCATTTTAAGAAGGATTGCTTTGATACGCTCCGGAGCAACTTCAGAATTATTCTATATATTGTGCTGGATGTTGTGTGCAAAGGTTTTAAAAAGAAGATAGAAAACGTTTTGTTCATCATACCTGGTTTAATGGCAATAAAGATGTTGTGTGTCTATGATCTATCGGATGCTGTTTTTTTGCATTGAATATATAAAAATTCCTGGACCTGACCCCTGATCTAATAATGGGTTCTTCCCTTCTGTGGTGAGTTTCGTGGTAATCCGTCTGCTAGTTTTTGCGTATT